CCCGTCACGAATTGTAGGGAGGTCCCAGGTTCGAGTCCTGGCTGGGGTAATATTTTTCGCAATAAGAATTTTAATTGCCAGACACGGTCGACAAACCGATGTTATTAATTTATTAAGATATATAAGATAAAGTGATGCCCACTGGACATTTTTAGGCATTTTTGGGGCATTAGTTTGGGCATTGGACCTTGCTGGCGAATTATAAATATAAAACAAGATGAGATAATAAGATAAAGTAATGCCCACTGGGCATTAGTGGGCATTGGTGTCCAAGATTTTGGTCAGCGGTTTCCCCCTCGGTTTGGTACCCGAAGGAAAATTTTCTCAGTGTACGTACATTAAACGTATGTACATATGTTGACGGCTGAAAGTTCGAACATCCGCATTTGAAGATGAAAATAAGACGAATGTTGAGCTGCCGGTGCATGTCCGGGCATTGGTACTTTTACCTTACTACGGAAGTTGATAGGCAAAGAGATTTAAACAAAATTTGGAAATATTTACTCGCCAGTAATTAGTTAACAAATAGGTTGAATGGTCCGGCACAGCTGGCAACAGGAAACTTCCTTTATTCACACAACGTTTCGGCCATGTGTTTCGGCCCTTTTCAAGAGCAATCGGCAGATTCTAGTCGGCGTAAGGCTTGTGGCCCGAATGCCATTTAGGCCCAGTAGAAATATCGCTACGGAGACATCGTATCTCTCTAGAGACGCGTGATTACTGTATGGGCGCGGAAAAGAGATTTAACATAGATATTCCGAGAAAGGAGAGATTAGTCTCTTGAATTTCTTAAAAGCCTGGCAACTTCGCCTATTGCACACATACGGAAACGATCCTGCGCGCACGAGACATTCGCCAGCCTCAATAACAAATGGAGCAGAGTGTTTAGAATAGAATCCTTTGACGCTCGTCAGTCTTTTAACCGTCTCATTCGGAACGAATGAGCTCCCGCTTGTAAAGTCTCACTTATGATTTGCGCTACTTTTTTTCTTTCGCTGAAAGTTTATTTACAACTCCCTAACCGCGTACTCCGTCTCGCTAGTTACCGTTTTACTCCGTATCGCTTTCGAGCATTTTTGCCTAACGAGCGACACTGTTTACTTTCAGAAATCGTTAGTGTGAATGAACGTACACGGTCGCTGAGAGGATAACATTGGTGAAGTATCTACGAGGCAGTAACCATGGAGGACGCCCATTGTAAAACTGTGGATGAGGTGATAAATTACTTCAACGTCGATCCTGACCAGGGATTGAGTCTCGATCAAGTGAAGAGGAACCAGGAGAAGTATGGTCTCAACGGTAAGTGATTCATTTCTCTCCCTCTTCTTTTTTCTTTTTTTTTTGGGCATAGCCGCGATAAGACTCGCGGATTATTCTCGCCGGCGTATCCGCCGACCGGGCGATCCGCTCGTATCCGAAAAGCGCATTCTCTTAACGTCACGTAAATTGACGTCGTCCATAAAATATTCATGAGCCACTCACGTTTGAGTCAGATCGACCGGTGAAATAAGATCAAGCGGGCGAAAGGAAAGGCGCGCGGGTATTTTCATTTGTTCGCGCCGACTCGCGAATCGCACGTGGACCGTGCGAGGCGTTTTAGAAATTGTGTCGCCGTTCCTTTCGCGCTCCTTTATCTGCGCCTTAATCGCTCCGCAATTAAATTGTAAATCAGCTTTCCGCCAGCGAGCGCACCCTCGAAAAGGATTTCTGTTACCGAGACAAAAAATATTCTTGCCGCATTTATATTTCTCACGACCTCATTTAGTATAAAAATAAGACAATATCAAAATAAAATCAATAATCGACTTACTATATTGAGACAAGAGTAACTTGTATAAATGTAAGTGAGAATGTAACATTTATATATTCATGCGTGTGGAATAAATTTTCCCTCCATCTTGGCAACACGTTATTCAACAAAAGACGATACATACTGTCATTTCATTCTAGATTTTAGAATTTTTCATTTAAGATCCAAATATTCCTTTCTCTATAATAAATATGATTGGCGCTATATCGATCCTATCTTAAGATGCATTCACTGAGAAAACTTTTCATCGGATAAACCAATTAAATAGAGTTTCCGATGGTTAATTTTTCCGATTACGATTTCCGCTCAAATTATGGATACATCCGATGAAATTTATCCGATGAAATGCAGTTGCCGATAAAATTTGATTGAAAAACCGATCACATATTTCATCGGATATACAATTTAATCAGATGTATTCGTTTGTTATTATGTAATTGGATTATCCGATTATATTCAATCGGACATTTTTCCCAGTGTTGGCGTGTAAATAGCATTGGATCCGGAAATTTTTTCCTGTGGGTGCGCGGTTGAAACTTACGCAAACGCGAGGCCTCTCATTGTCGCACCAGCAGCGGCTTCCTGATCGCATTCGTACCTAATCGCGAGGGAGAAATCGCAAGTTTACGACCGATAAAATAAAGAGGGAAAAACCGGAGACTCCGGATCGCTCTCGGAGGAAAGGCGCGAGGGTATCTGCGCGTTATTAACGCGTGACACACGCGCGCGCCGCGCGGAAGCGATATCGCGGCGCTCGCGGAAACAACGCGCGTTCTATTCGCCATCCGCGGTGCCAGGGGCACCGGATAAAAGTCGGTCCTTATCAGTCCGACACGTCGCCGTGCGTATACGCCACGCGTGTTGCCTGTCCCCACCATCGCGCCCACCGGGGCCTCTACCACCGTCACCTTCTCCCGTACACGTGTTCGGAGCCCGTAATTTTCTCTCAATGATGATTACGCGCGTGTGTCATTCGATTCCGACCGTAGCCTTCGTTTCCATCGCCGTTTGGACTTCCGAGACGTCACGCGCTGTAAAAAATTGCATGTAAAATTTTTTTTTTAAATTGTTACAATTATTGCAGTGGGTGATGTCGGGACCACCTATTAAATTGATCTTTAACGTATCTTTACATACGTCAGTATGTACGTTACGATGCGTCTTTACATACGTCAGTAAATTTACTATTTATATAATAAGTAAACTGCTTGCTTTTAGTTGTGTAAATTTTACAATTTTTTGTAATTTTTTTATCAAATAAACAAGTATTTGCGCAACAAAGAGTAAACAAATTTTGTAAAGGTACATAAATTTATATATTTCTGTTATTATTAGTGTAATCGCTACACTTATTAGGTATGTAATTTTACATACTTTTTTACAGTGCGCGAGGTAAAGTGCCCTATTCACTCTCGGGCCGGTATTCATAGACGATTCTTATTTCAAAATCATCTTAAGTGTTGCCTTAAGAGGCTAATACGGCTCTGTGATTGGTTAAAAATACATTAAGAGTATACTTAAGACGATCTTAAATATAAGAACGGACTATGAATACCGGCCTCGAAGTGAGAAATTTGGCATTTACTCGGAATCACTTTGATCTATGCCCCGGATAGTAATTTAATGAAACGCCCCCTCTGTTGTAGCCACGCTGTTTACCGGGAGGGGGGGGGGGATTCGTATCTGTATTTTGCGAGATTAATTTACCATTTACCGGAACCGCGTGTAATTATTTGCATATGAATCTGGTTTCCGCGTGTCACTTTGTTCCGAAGAGGCTGCTTGTGACGCGCGTGTCTGTCGATGGTTTACAATAATATAATCGGGGGTGGGGCGGGGGCGACGTTTAAATCATCGACATTCCAATTTCCGTCGTCGACAAACCGCTTGATTGAATCGCCATATCGCACACGTATTTCGGGAAAACGCCTCGAATTACGCTGACGTCGGAGATATAAATCGCTCTTGAGAAATAATAATTCTCCGCGAAAGCGACCGGCACTTAATCCCCCCGCGATAACGCGCGATTAATGCGATTAATTAACACGTCAACGAGCCGTGTGACGAGTGTATTGTGATAAAAGGCTTATCAGTTTCAGATACTTATCGCTGTACATATATAATTTTCGCTAGATCTGGAAGTTATAAAAACCTGACTTAAAATGATAGCGTAGATCTTATCAACGGTAGTATCCGCGAAAATTACGTGTGAAAAATTGTACGAAACGCGTGAGCTCGTTGCGAGATCGCAGGGCTGCATTGTTCAAATAAATATTTCTTTTATCCTTCTCTTTCTATTTAAAGAAAATTAACTTGCATTGTTCAAATAAATATTTCTTTTATCCTTTTCTTGCTGTTTAAAAAAAATTAATTTGCATTGTTTAAATAAATATTTCTTTTATCCTCTTTTCTTTCTATTTAAAGAAATTTAATTTGCGTTGTTCAAATAAATATTTCTTTTACCCTTTTCTTTCTATTTAAACGAAATTAATTTGCATTGTTCAAGTAAATAGTTTTTATCCTTTTCTTTCTATTAAAAAAATTAATTTGCATTATACAAATAAATATTTCTTTTATCCTTTTGTTTCTATTTAAAAAATCAATTTATACATGATGTAAATAGTTCGAAGGTAAAAATGGGACGCTGGTGACAAAATTGTGCGTTGAAACCGCTTTATAATCGCGTCGGCTTGATAGAAATCAAATTTTCACTTTGTTTCGTGTGTTAAACGGGATAAATCGCGATTATATCAAGCTTATTTCTCAGTTTCGCAAAACGCTGCGGAGAAACGATCGAACGCCGATGAATTTTGACGGTTGAATTAAACTAGGATTGCCGAGGCGACGCACACGGCTGATCGAGCGAGATGTCAACACGTTACACCTTCGTAATCCCGCGCTTTGTACTTGCTGTCGATTTAACGGGCGCAAAATTAATCCCGCTCGGGGCGAACCGCGCGGAAGAGGAAGCGCAGCGCGCATGTGGCTCGAACGGCTTATTTTCGCGTAACGCGCTGCTGGTTAGCGCGTTCGTCGAAACACCGGACGTTTCCCCTCCCGATCTCGCGGAGATCGAGCCGAGATGAGTTATCAGCGCGACTGTTTTATCCGCTCGGCCGCGAGATTTCTGCGCGGAGAGAGAAGGCGAGTCACTCGTCGCATCTCGGTTCGGGAGGTCGCGCGTCAGCGGGAGTGAAGCGAAAGAAAAATGGGACGCTTTCACGGGGTCAATTCTCTTTCTTACGCTATGGTGAAAAATGCTAAACGTGAGTAGCTTTGTCTCTCTCCAACCGTCCCCTTAGAAAGAGACAAAACCGCTCACTCTTAGCATTGGCCGCGTTCAGCAGAAAAAGCTGCTTTGCAACTGTTGTAAAAATCCTAGAATCTAATTAGCGTAAGCTCTTAATTATGGCGGAATCTAAGAGCATACTCCAATCAAATTTACGAATTTTACAACTGTTGCAAAGCAGCTTTTTCTGCTGAACGCAGCCAATTTCACTGTATTGTAAAGGCCTGTGTCCACGATGCTAGAACTTGGTTCAAGTTCCTTGCATCTTTTACGGAAAAGCTGCAAGTTGATTGGCATACACATCTCTTGGAACCAGAACTTGGACACGGTTCTTGAATCGTGGACACAAGACCTTAGATACAGACCCCCTGGGCCCTCGATTCCCGTTTCACTCACGAGTTTCGACTCTGCCGCGATCGAAAAAGACGAGAACGCGGGAAGAGAGAAGTGACAGTTGCTCGAAATTAAAAGAGCTAATTAATAACACTCGAGATATTCCGTACCTTCGTCAGAATTGAGCGACATGACAAATATAATAACAACAATAACGTGATATAAGTTTTATAAAATTGCCAATGTCAGGGAAGATTTCATTCTACCAGGAAGGACGACATCTTAGCTTTGATCGCGAGACACGCGTTTACTGGAGGACGTTTGTCATTAGTGCTAATGCGGTCTGTGATCGTATGTGTGTCGATCGTATCCGCCGTGGGAGGAAGAAAATGCATAATCGCGCGCACGTGCGCTGCGCGCGGGTCGCCCCGGGGATTTCGGGGCTGGTCGCGTGTATATAAAGTAGTAAACATTTGCGCGGGGATTGTGCGGCGCGGCTACAAAATAGGCGAGGGGTATCGTCTTTCGTTTACGAAAATAAAATACAGCGAGCACAACAACTCCGCCCGCGGCGTCGAATAGTTAGACGTTATCCGCGGCGTGTTCGCCCGCCGCTATATTTTGACGCTCCAGCCGCGGCGACGCGAGGTGTTTTAAATAACACGTGGCGTCCCTTTCGGCACCTGCGAATTTTCCCCGCGATCGTAAACCCGAGGCGTCGACGATCCGTTTTAAAACCTTCGTGCCGCTCACCTGAGATCACGGATCTCAGACGAGACCTTCGCGAGCCTTCGTGGTTTGTGACGTAGAACTCGTCGGTGTTGCGGTTTTTCTCGCGCTGTATTTTTTAAGAGTCTCCAAGTCCGA